TTTTTTTTTTTTTTTTTAAAGTAACAAACAAATTAACAATTGCATCCCAAGAATCCCGAGTTGTTAGTGTTCTCCTTTAACAATAACAAGAGATAAAGGAAATAAAAAAGCCTTCTGAGACTAAGGCTTTTACAAACAAATGAGAATTAAATAGCCCAAATTAAAAAAAAAAAAGTCCAATACATCCATTAACAAGACGTTTGATTTACAAAATGGAATAGAATGGGAATGGAATAGCTATTTTGTGAGAATAGAATATAGAAGGAATAGTTATTTCGTAGTTTGGTTCATGAAATGGAATAATGCATTAATATGATTAAATTGTTTGGTTGGTTAATATCTTGATAAAGAATAAGGAAAAAATAAGTTGGTAAATACCATTTTACATTCACATAAAAACAATTTGGGTTAAATACAAAAATGATCCCCATATTATATATTTTTTATCAATTTGATATCTAAAGAATTAAAATTCTCACATTGATACCTAAATTTTCATTTTGTCAAGTACTTTTGTATTCGGTTAACATTGTTAGTCAACTTACTTACATAGTATTAATATCTAATAAAATCATGACATGAGACATAAATATCAAGTCATCTCTGCATCATTTATTTCCCATTTTAGTATCTAAGTAAAAAATTTAAAAACTTTTAAAATATATATATATTTGATTGAAAATTTAAACAAAATAAAAAAATATATTGAGGGAAAGAATAACAGAGAGAAAAAAATAATTTTTCGTTAATGTGGCAACGATTGGATAATTATGACATATGATATAATTTTATTAAATATTCATACAACGTAAATCACTTAATTGATAGTATAAGTTCAAAATATCAAAATATTTGATGAAAAAAAATTTAAGTATCAAAATAAAAATTTTATTTTTTTAAGTATCAAATTGACAATAAATGTATGATATATGGGGCAACATTTTACACATTAATCCAAATAATTTCATTATAAATATTTTCATAATTTTTTAATTCCTTTAAAAATAATATTTTTTATTGAAAGAATTTTAAGTATAATATAATTTTTTTTTCCATTTCTTTTTCCCATGTCTTTTTCCCATTCCTTCTTTTTCTTAGGGGAACGACTCTTCTCAGTTTTCATCACTTTTCTCGTTCTATACCCCTCCTCCCTTCCACAAAATCTCACCTTCACCAGCAGCATGCTTTTTGCGATTGCGGCTATCGGAAACCCTGTTTTTATTCTTCCATCTTGAACCCCTGTTTCTTTTACAACCGGCAGATTCTCCTTTCCATTATCTCTTCCTCTTCCTTGCAATCGACACCCCTACTTATTTTCTTCCATCTTGAACCCCAAGCACAAAATTATATTATTTCATCGTTATTTACAGATTTGATTGCATATTTATTAGAAAGTATATCCGGTTTTGTTTGAGCTTCAAGTATGGGAATAGGTCTTTGGTTGTATTTGGGTGGTTTTTTGGTGTGTTGGAGTTTAGGTTTTCAAATTTTGGAATAGATTAGCAGGATGTTGATGTGTGTAATCTACAAGTTGTGAGTGCTAAAGTATGAAGAATTTTACAAAGTTTTTTTTTTTCGAAATTTTTGAGCATGGGATATATGTATATACATATATATAGAAATTATTTTGCAGAAGAAAGGGATAAATTTAGTAGGTACTTTTATTAAAAATTTAGATTGCATTTATCATACTTGAATCTGATCTTTTGCGGGAAGAAAACCAATTCAATTGGTAAAAAAATATGAAAAATCTGGAAAAGAAGACTAGAAATACATGAAATGTGTGAGAGTAAAATTGTCACAAAAAGAGTGCTACCTCTTCCTTGCCATAAGGAATTATCATTGTTAAGGGAGAGCTTAGAATGTGTATTCCATGTTTTTGAAGGATACACGTTCTGAAGAATACCTCTTCTATTAACCTAATTTTTTTTTTGTCTAAGATCTTGGTATCTGGTAATCATTTTAGGCTTTGAGGGTCCGACTTTGTAAGGGAAGCAAGCTCTTTCGAGTTTTTTTTTTATTATTATTTATAAGATTCGAAATTAAGACTTTGTTTAAAAAAACTCGAACTACTTACCACTCAAACCTAACTTTTGAAAGGCTTTACACCATGGAAAAAGGAGGAATGCAATAGCCTTTCCCTAACCAAACGTACAGTAAGTCCAAAATATTTAAGCCTCTAGCATTATCCTCACACTTATACTAATCCTTATGTCCTAAAACCATGTGCCAATTTCCATGCCCTGGACGAAGGCCAACAAAACCATGCACATTCCGTTAAGTTTGGTCTTAATTCCAATGTTTATGTTTTCAATATTCTGATGCGAGTTTACACTGTTTGCAGGGTTATTTATCATGTTGAAAAGTTGTTAGATGAAAGTCCTGAAAGAGACTTTGTGTCTTGGACTACCCTCATTCAAGCATTTGTTAAAATGGGTTTTGCCAAGGACGCCATTCAGGCTTACTTCAATATGTGTAAAGAAAATTTAGGACCAGATAAAATGACATTGGTTGTCATCCTTTCAGCTTGTTCTAGGCTGGGAGACATGAGTTTAGGCGCCCAAATAAAAATATGTGATGTTTATGATATTTATTCGGATGCTTTTGTTGGAATACATTGGTTGATATTCATATGGAGTGTGGCTACGCGGATTCAGCTCGTCAGTTGTTTGATAAGATGCCTGTTAAAAATGTGGTTTCATGGAATTCCATGATATCTGGTGTAGTTCAAAAAGGACAATTTATGGAAATATTTTGTTTCAAGCATGCCAAGGATAAGTCTTAAACCTGACAGTGTTACTCTAGTTTCCGTTTTTAATGCTTGTAGTAATCTTGGGAAGCTCGAGTTAGGAAAGTGGATTCATGCATATATTGATAAAAATCAAATCAAGGCAGATGGGTTTATAGGAAATGCCTTGGTGGATATGTATGCTAAGTGTCGAAGCGTGGAACAAGCTTTCAGTGTGTTTCAAGGAATGAAATGTAGAGATGTTTTTTTCTTATGCTGCAATGATTGTTGGATTCACAATGAATGGAGAAGCTGAGAGAGCGCTGGATATCTTTGTGGAGATGCCCGTGGTGGGCATCAAACCGGATGAAGTGACATTTGTTTGTATCCTTTCTGCATATGGTCATGCAGGAATGATAGAGGAGGGTAGGAAACACTTTAACCTCAAACAGAGCCCTACGGTTGTATGGTTGATCTTTTAGGCCGTGCTGGACTAGTAAGCGAGGGAGAAGAATTTATAGCAAATATGCCAATTGAGCCAGATGCATTTGTTCGAGGTGCATTAGTAGGATCTTGTAGCGTTAATGGAAAAATTGAGCTTGGGGAAAGTGTAATGAAAAAGCTTGTAGCTATCGCACCTTTAAGACATAGTGCACGCATACCCATGTCAAACATCTATTCATCTGCAAATAGGTGGAAAGATGCGGTAAAGTTGAGGAAGGCAATGAAAGAAGAAAAGTAAAGAAGACTCCTGGTTGTAGTTTAGTTGAAGTCAATGGTACTGTTCATGAGTTCCAGAAAGAAGACAAATCACACCCAAGAAATGAGGAGTTAAGAAAATTGCTGGAGGAAATGGCAATTCATTTACAGAACCATGGTCAATTTCCAACTGGTAACTTAATCTCCTAATACAGCTCATGTAGATAATGGAGAATGATTTCATGTGTGGGAAAATGGAGGCATTGGGGCATGTTGGCATATTTGTTTGCCTTCCTCTCAAGGCTTTGAGCGTTAAAAACTAGAAGATGGCTAAGAAAATTATGGTTAAATTCACACATATGCCTAAAAGTAGTGAGTTTCTCAAATCATAACCTTGTTAATCATGTTATGCCATAGACCGTAGGTAGAGGTTAGACCCTGTCTTAGACAGAGGGATTATTAGCAGCAACCTGCTTTTGTACTCTCCTTAGGAGAATTTAAGTCTGAGATTGAATCTCTTATCATATGTACCTAAAAATATCTATAGATGTAAAACGAAAGGGTCTGATCTGATTACTTACTCAAGTTCCAGAACTCAACAAGATCTCTGTAGCAACTCTCTACACTCTGCCTAGTGTTCCATGCTTGTCGTGAGATCTCTACTTACTAGTTTAATTAATTCCTTAAACTTTTGAAAATTATCAAATCTTTGAGCCATCAATTAGTTAATTTGTTTCAGTATCATCCTTTGCGCACTGATTTATCGAATTGAATTTTTTTGGTCATTTTTGTCCAATTGATTAAAGAATATACATGTTCAAAAAGTATGCAGAAATAAACATATTGGATTAAGGTTTTTATTTAATAGGAAGAATGAAAAGAAATAAGGATGAAAAAATTATTAATCTAATGATTAAATTTGATAGCTACATTCTTATTTGGTAGTTTAATTAAATAACTGGATTATCAATTTTTTTTTTCATCTTTACTCCTTTCTTTGCTTCCTATAAAGCAAAGTTTAAATGTCTAGATTTGACGTTACAGAATTGGAAAGAAGTTACGCTTGAATAGAACGTATAAATAAATATTTCACTGTAACTTATAGAAGATGGAGGAAATTGACTCTTTAATATGCAATTGAAAACTTGCAAAGTTCAAGGGATTGCAATTTGGTAATAGTAGGAATAGTAACTCTTTGTGTTCCCCAAAATCTATGAAGAAAACGTGACCTTTGTGCATATATAGAAGTTAATTATTTATTACTTCTTTCAAGTAAAGAAGAGTTGATTTCTCAAATTTATAATGGTTTGACGGCGGCCCAAATAGTAGTAAATAAAAATATAGACTAAATTAATTTCAAAAAAAAAAATTATAGACTAAATTATTGCCTTTCAAAAAGTAATCATGTGAGATGCATACGCAACAAGTAATAATAAATTTTTTAAATTAATTTATACTGAAACATAAGGAATCTACTCGGAAAGAAACTTATTGTAGGAAGCATGGAGATGAACAAGAGTCTCCAGCATAAACCTCTTATTCTAAAACATGATAGTGGGGCTAACGAATTTGAACTACTGAAAATCGTGGAGAACATGTCATTATAGCTCCAACGCAAACAGAATCAAAAGAAAAGCATCAGCCTAGTAGGCCTTTGGAGGAGGTGGTGATTTGTAAAGATATGGAGGAGACTCGGGGTGATGTGGAGGAGAATAGTGGGGGTGAAGAGGAGGTGCAGGAGTCTCGGGATGAGAGGGATGGGGATTGGGATGTGCTGGTGGCGGTGGTGGCGGTGGTGGGGATTTGTAGACGTAATGGGGAGGTGGCGGTTTGTAGGGCTGGGGATGTGGTGGTGGTGGCGACTTGTAGATGTAATGAGGAGGTGGGGCTTTGTAGGGCTTGGGATGCAATGGTGGTGGTGGTGGTGATTTATAGACGTAATGAGGAGTTGGTGAATGAATAGGCGGTGGGTGTGATTGGGGTAGTGGAGATTTATAGACGTAATGAGGTGGTGGTGACTTGTAGTGGCCTGGTGGATTATATGGGTGCTTCAGTGGTGGAGGAGATGCATACTCGTAAGGTGGGGAATTAGCTGCCACAATGGTGGCCACAAGGCAAAATACCAAAAGAAAAACAAGATGAAGCAATAGCCTCGGTTGTCCCGGGCTTCCCATTTTCTAGCAACTTCAACTAAAGAAACTAGATGTTGGAACTAATGTTTCTGTGCATGAATAGCAAACTTGATTGTGTCCCTTTTTATAGAGAGTTGTGGGATAATATGTGAAATAAAATAACTCTGTTCAATTCACATAACAGGCTGGAGTAAGCAAAACCTTTGAATTATTGTTTTTACTTTATTAATTTCATCCAGCGATTCGTGTTTCCCGGTTCCCAGAAGGACGACCATCGTTGCCCACGTTACTCCATGTTCTGCCCATATTATTTCTACATTATATATTTTTCCCAACGAAAAACTAAGTATGTGTTGTGTAACATATAATTCCAGTAGATGTGATACGTTAAATCATGTTTACCTTAATTAATTTGCATAATAAGGAAACCAATAACAAAAACTACTGGGTAGATTGTTTGATGCAAATCATCACATGCCATGCAACTAGTGAAGGTTCCTTTTTTTATAGGATATTTTAGGTCAAACTATGCAAATGATTTATGTATTGATATGAAATTTAAATTTTAATCAATCTAGTATAATTTATAAAAAATTTGTTCTCATATAAGTTAAATTTGATAATTTTGGTCCAATTTCTATCACCTTCAATTACTCTCCTTTAATTTTATTGATGTAATCATTGATTTTACTAACATAATAATTTAGATAAATAAAATCAATTGTCAAATTATATAAATAATTGAAGTTCAAAATCTATTTATTTTTAAAATGAAATTTTCATTCGCAACTTTATAAATATATTTAAATTTTATACATTCTATTAACCGCAAAAAATTTGAAAAAAAATGACACCAATTTCATTTACCAACTTCATCCATTCCATCAACCCTTATTTCATTTAGGAAAAAAAATGTACTTTACTTGATTACATTGATCTTATTTTTTTTCTTTTAATTAATTATTCTTTCCTCTCTAACTAACTTTTATCAATGCAAAATACTTATAAAAAATATATTTCTCTCTTACAAAAAATTCAATAAAAAATCTATTCAACAATTAATTTTCAACAGCATAATAAAAACTTATATATGTGGCATTTAATCAAATATTATAATGTGACATGTTTACCGTACCAAGCTATCAACATAAATCAAAACTATATATTTTTACTCAGATGGCAAAAATTTTATCCAAAATCAATCAGTTATTAATTATCACATAACATTCATACGATATTTACATAAAATTTATACAAATACTAATACTTTTATTTAATAATAACAGGTATATGACACAATTATAATGGTTAGATGCTATGCAGTTGAGTTAGCTAACCATATAAATTTTTTTAAAGTATCAAATTATATATTTTTATATTGAGGTACCAAAGTGACTATGACGCAAAATGCAAAGGCATAAACCAGTCCTGGCTGTCCCATTGCTAGCAATTGAAATCAATTACCGGCAAATAGATGTAGGAACTATTGCTGTGTTGCTTGCTTGGTGAGATTGTAGCTATTCCCTTTCATAGTACTCTATTCAGTAATTTCTTGAATAAATGTTGCTGTTTAATGAAATGTACAGGCTAGATGTAAATCTTTAAAATATTGCTTCAAGTTCGTTCATTTCACCCTGCCATTCGTGTTTTCCCACAAGCTACCCCATGCAATTAGTTTTATGATTTTCATGAAAAAGTCAGAGATCGGTGTTTTGAATTATATAAAAAATTCATCAGATGTGACTTGGTCCCCGCATATCCCTTCTCATGAATTTGCATGATCAAAAACTGATAAGATGGTTAGCTGTACTGATCATTGATCATTCAGTCGGTGGCCTATGTCTAATGGGTGATGCTGTAGGCTACACAATTCTGTACATAATTCTTATTTTCTTCTTTACTTTCACTTTTTTTTTAATTTTCATTGTTATATTCATCATTGATGGAACGGTTGATTGAAATTTGATAATTGTTGAAAGTATTTTGAATAGAGCGACGTGGAGCTCAGCTGGAAGGTGATTAGGAGGAAAGTAAGATCTGCAACGAAAAATATAATCAGCGGACATTGGACATGGGAATTTGAATTTCAAGATATTCCGACACTGAAATCTGTCAGGTGAAAGAAATTTGAGGGTACGAATAGGAGAGAAGGAATGGAGCTTAAGTATCGAGGAAGAAGAGTTCATATTAGCATACTTAGTTTCCTTTTATTACTTTATGTCATCTATTTACCTATAAAAGTGTAAATTTAAAAAATAGATAGATCAAAATATTTTTATAAATATTTAACTTAATAATTTGTCAATAAATATGTAATTTTTATTAATTTATTTAAGTTTTATTTAAATCAACGTAAATTAAATTAAGATAGAATCTTTGTGAAATTAAAATACTTAAAATTTTAATCGTAAAAGTATTAAAGTGATTAATTAAAACATTATAAGTAAATTTTTTATCAATTTTAATTTAAATAATTTTTTTTTATTATTAGCTTCTTTTTATAACTAAATTCAAAAGTGTTAAAAATAATTGATTAAAATATATTTAATAAAATTTTAATTTCAAAAAAATTAAAAGTTATTGATTAAAATATCATTAGTAAATTTTTTACAAATTTTTTTAATTTTTTTTTATAATTAGACTCATATAAGATATAAAATATAATTTTCACATCAAATAAAAATACAAATATAACAATATCAAAACTTATTAGTGTGAATAAGAATAAGACAATTATATGGACTTTGTTCCTTTATCGTTGTTAAAACAATTGTACATATAATTTATATTGATAAATAAATTCATTAAAGACAATCATAATTAAATCATTATAAAGTATATTTGGTTTTTTTTTTTAACTTTTTGCCTTTCAATTTTTTGTTTTAATTGATTTACTAATAAATGATTGTATTGTTTGTATGTTTTATGAGTTAATCATTTAATCATTGATAATATAATTAAATCCTTTTAGTCACTTGAAATGATTTTTTAATATATATCATTCTTATAGTTTAACTTAACCTCTATAATTAATTCCTTTTTTGTATTTTTCCCTCTAGAATTTTATAATTGTTATTCCTATAAATAAAAAAACTAATATAAAATCAAATACAAATAAATTGCACACATTCCACAAAAAATTAGCATTATATGATTTATTTAACATTTTGAACACTTTAGTTAGACTTTCCACCTATAAAATTAAATGATTCAAGAGTTAGTGGAGCTACTGGTAGCTTAGGACTAAATTATCATAAGAATTGTTCAATTTGACTAATTTCTATTTCAAAATGATTTAATTTTTTAATTGTATTAAATTACTCAATTTTTTTGTCATCTAGGTGGTTGAATGACCTAAAGTAAATTATTTTAAGTAAAAAATTATCAAGTGAAATAAGATTAATTATTTTTAGTAAATTTTTCAAGGTCTGACACAATTCATTGGAATCGTATGTTGAACGTGTTTATATCAAAGTTATCATGAAATTTTATGTTATTAATGTTGAAAATGATATTATTATAAATTGTATAGGTGTTGCTAAACAATTTTGTTATTTTGAGAATTACAATTTTTTTAAGAAGAAAACATGACAAGTAGTAAGGTTAGAATTTTATTTTATTTTTAATTTTTAAAATTATGTATTTTAATATTTTCATATAATAAAAATTTATATATAATAAAATTTTTCAAATAAAAGAAATTTTCAATTTTCAATTAGTAGAACATATAATTATATTTAATCGATGGAAGCACCAATAGAATGTTACCCTAAGCAAAAGAAAAATGAGATGAAAGATTAAGTAGTTATGCATAACTCTATATTCTCCATATGACAAACAATGTTAGTATTTTATGATATTTCAATGAAAAATATACAAATGTATTGATTTCAAAATTTTTTTTAAAATTAATATGAAACTCTTTTATTAGGAAAAATATTATATAATCACTTATTTTCTCCATTTATATCAATTGAAGAATTTTCACTGTTACATATAAAATTTTAAGGTTCCTATATAAAGTAATATTTGTACAAAAATATTGAAATTCATCAAATTTACTATCACTATTTTATTTAATGTAAAAATATTATTATAAATTGTAATTTAACTAAATTTAAAAGTGATTTAAGGGTATTTATTATCAAATTTCATTTGATAAAATTTTATTTAATTATATATTTAATATTTCAATCATATTGAATTTTGACTTTTTGTAATTTTGAATAAGGTTTGAGACTAAAGATTAGTAATCAACTAATTAAGTCAAGCTATCATCTATATTTATTCATAGTATACTCAATTATTCACTTATGTACCATAGCAAATTTAACGTAATAAATAATGCATACTTCTCTTTATTTAAAAAAAAGAATTCAAATCATCTTAAATCCAAATAAAAAATGGACACTAAATTACTTATAATTGCAATTTCACTTCAGAAATATTATTAAAAATTATTCTTTTTCTAATTCAACCACAAAGATAATAAAAATGAGACATTAAAGATGAAAGAAAAAGTTTAAATAAATAACTTTTAAATTGTTATGGAAGATAAATAAAAAATATTAGTTCTGATTGAGTTACTATTACAATTTGAATTTTGGTTATATTCATGGGTTACTATTTCATTTCAAAATTTGACTATACTCAATCATTTCAAGCATTAAATAACTACTAAGTTATTGGCTTTTTAAAATCAATTAAAATTGAGTTAAGTTAATTTATTTTTATAATTATGCGTATTATATTCATTTTTAATTAAATTAAAATTTAAAATAAGTAAAAAATTTTGTATGCTCAATTTAAGTTTTAAATTGTTTCAAATTTGAGTTGATTAATCATGTTATTTTAGCTATATTTTTTTGATACCAGCAATAAACTTCAAAATAAAATGAGAATTAAACACAATGAAAATTAAAGCTATGTTTGGTAACCGGCAATCAAGTTCCAAAAATTAGAAGATTTTCTTTGAATATGTGGTGTTTGGATCACTTAGAGTTAGAGAAAAATATTTTTAATGTTTGTTTCAACTAAAAATA